AAGTGGAAGGACTCCTTGTTCTCTTCGCCGTCCTCCTGCTTGGAGGTACTGAGCGGGAGGGTGGGTTCAGCTGCACCTTCGATAGGCTTGGGACCTGCTGCTACCTGTTCTGGAGCGGTAGGTATATCAGGAATCCCGGACTCCTCAGCAGTAAGCTTGTCCTTGGCCGCGACTTTGCTGCGCTTGTCGAGCCACTTACGGCCTCCAGATATTATGAGCGGAAATGCCAGGGTAAGGAAGAGACCACGAATGAGCGAGTTGATGCTGATCAGCAGGCCATTTTGCGATGTCCCAAAGTGGAAGATGTCGGTCGCGTACATTTGCAGCAGTACTGGGATGTAGGATGTTGCCAATACTCCAAGAAATGTGCCGATTCCGAGAAGCAGTACACCATACTCCCGCTGTACCTTACCGCCCTCCAAGACCCATTTCGTCGGCGCGAACATCTTGATGGGGTCGAAGAAGCTGGATAACGTCTTCGCTTTGCCTTCCACCTTGTTGTGGATAGTCGGAAGACAGAGCTGTATATAGAGGCAGCACAACAGGAACAACACAAGCGTGACGCGGAAAGGCCAGATGATGCCAAGATAGTCGCCGATTAGTCCACCAGCAAGGTAGCCAAATGCCATGCCAAACATTGCACATCCAGAAAGCCGACCAAGGGTTGCTGTTCGCTCCGCAGGCTCAACAACTTCAGTCGCGAGGCTGTTGAGGGCTAGAAGGTAGCCTACCGGGCCGCCAATGATCGTGATGATCTGAGACAGCTGGACAATAAGGATGCCCATTCCAGCTCCAGTTTCGACACCGATATTCTGAATGGCCAAGCGGACGGCAGGGAAAAACACGGTAAGTTGCAGCGCTTTTTTGACACCCATAGCCTTCATCGTCCAGGAAGTGAAGAACAAATTCGCCACGCCGAAGAACGTTGTGCTGGTCCCCAGTAGAGCCACCGACCGAGCAGTGCTGGCTTCAATCGTGTGGACCTGACATCTGTGATCGAAGCTCAAGCCTGGTGGAGGCGAGTCGTGGTGTTGGTAGTATTCATCGCAGGTCATGACGCCAAAGACGTAGATGAGAGGGACCTGTGTGACACCGAAGGATAACGACACGAGGAAGGCGGTTAACAGTACACGGTAGACTGTGCTCTGCTGCCATAGCACCGAGACCGTGGACTTCTTCCTCTCCAGTAAAGGTGTGTTCTCAGTCGGATCGCCTATGGTTGTGGCGAAAGAAGTCTTGCGCGAGGACATCCTCCGATCTTCTGCTATTACCATGTTGCCTGAAAAGGGAGACAGATGTGGTCTCAGATGTGATGAAAGAAATTCCAAACATCATGCCTCACAGCAATCCTCCCGCCGCAAGTACGAGATTGGCCGAGATGAACGTTGACCGCTGCTGCATACTGCACCTCAGCCGGTACACCGGGTAGCCGTTATCGCTGTACCTTCGTGTTCTCACACGAGCTGCAGTCTCTAACTGCCGTATTCGGCATTGTGGGTCCTCGGGCCTAGCGCGGACATAGCCAGCGCCTCCTGGCTTCTGTTCGCACGCGTGACGAACACAGCATAGCCCAGCAGCGCATCCTGTCAGGCTGATATGGGCGTGAGAGGTTCCCTTTCTTGGGACAGGAGGAGGAGGTGAGGTAGGCAGTGCAGATGGCATGGACACAGCCTTGCAAGATATGACGATCTTCCGCGGCACGCGCAAGGTCTCCATACCAAGGTCCAAGATTGCCAACATGGTTTCAGATGTAAACAGGCTATATCATCTTCCTATCTCTACACATCCCTCGATTGTGAACGCACTCACAGATCAACAGTCCACCATGAGCATCAGTGACGGCAGCAGTACTCCTCCATTCATGGACCCGCCCGCATACACAGCAACACCAACCAATGGCTCCTCAACTCTACACACCCCGGCAGCTCCAGCAAGACGCAACGTCCTCGAGATGCGCGCTCTGATCCTCGGTAATGCTGCGATCCTCAAGCCTCGAAAACGAGACGACGAGATCCAGCTCATTGTGGCCCGCCACAAGAGTCCACAGCATAGCGCAGAAGAAGTCCCTCTCGTACAACACTACGCTTTCCTGGTCCAGCGCAAGTACAACGAGACGGACATCAATATTGTGCTGAAGGGCGAGCCTCGGGACACTATCGAGGAGGCACTGGAGTGGATGCTGGAGCGGACGGAGACGGTGATGGAGGAAATGTTGCTGCGGCATGGAACGCATGTCAGTGGTGGATGCTGTCTTGATTGTGGGAGGAGTTTGAATCCCAGACAGCGGCCACTGGCAAGCGTGGCTGAACGTATCAGGATTGAGAGGGAAGGGACATGATACTATCCGCTCGATGGTCGGTTCTGCGAAAGAACAGCAAAGGCTCTTCATGAGTGGGTTCTAGCATGAGCTACTCAAGATTGAGGTCGATGGTCGAAGATTGCGATGCACGACGGAGTGCGAGAAGCGCCGCTCGAGGAGTCTCCTCGGTCCTCCACTTACGAAGAACGGTCTATGAAGCAGCTCTCTCGAGCAGGTTCCGACGATTGCGGTGTCAGTGGCCATGATGCATCATGATTGGACGAATAATTTCAAGCAGGAGAGATCTGCTGACGGATTGGAGACTATCCACGCTAACAGGACCAACACGAGTATATGGCCTAACGCAGCTGGGTCAGATTAAGCCGTGTATAAGACACGGATAATGAGTGTCCACTCTTGGAAACATCACCCACAAACGCAAATCAATCGAACTTCTCGCACATGATGAATCTGCCCTTCCCACCAGTCGCGCCCTCGTGCGTGATCACGCCCAGGAACGAGTACAGCCCGCCTGACTGGAAAACCACTCGATCGTCGCCTGCATGCTTGCCAGGCCCACCTGCCAAGTGAAATCAGTCAGCGGTACTATTCACAAAACGCAGCCATAGTGACGATGACTTACGTTTCCCGTTGAACGGCACCAAGTCCCTCCTGATCGGAAACTCGAGGTACGGCGGCGAGAGAGGGCCAAAGTAGAGATTGTCCGTGTTACCATATGCATGAGGATAGCGGCGTGTCCCGAGCGTTCTGCCGTCTGAATGAGAGCACACGATTAGATGGCTGAGTGCATTCGAAGGGTGTGGGCAGACTGACCTTTGTGCAATTCTGCGGCTCGCTCGACGACTAATGCAATATCAAGCCAAGTGTATGCATCATTGCCTGTCACACACTTCCAGAACGGCCGGAGAGGCTCACCGGCACTGGCGGGCGTTCTGCTGATAATGTCCGAAAGACTTGTAGCATTGTTGGCTAACAAGAGATCGTTTGTCGTCGGGACGGCGAACGTTCTGGTACTGCAGAAGAAGATGGCAAGTAGAAAGCTGAACAGTATGGTTGGCATGCTGGGCATGGTGTACGTCTGGCCGATAACAGAAGGGATAAGTTGAATGCACTGCTACCTACTGCTCTATATACGAACGAGCTGAAGCCCCCTCGACGTGGTTTCTTTGTTCATGGATGCGTTCCACCGCATGGCGGTACGACCCAAGACTCGAAAGATCAGGCCATACACAGCCACCGGTGTCCCCTGAGATCGAGGATTGCTTGGAGGCCATGGCTTGGCATATGTGCGGATCAACGTAGGACCGTCGCCACGAGTTCATTGACGCCATCGCTTTTTGACCGACGACCAACGGAAAACCCACACAACTACACCTGCACATTGTTCTAACTGGCTTGGTCGGGTTTCAATTTCCTGTGGAGCCGAGACAGGCTGCTGTCGTGTTCGCAAGCAAGGCACTTAGTCATCTCCTAACACCGACCCCGATCGGCCGAGCAGCATATATAACATATGACTTGGCGGCACGACTAGTGTTGAACCTGCGCATCATTCTTCGAGGCAGAGCTCAAGATGGACAACCAAGCAATGCTAAATTCTGAAGAGCAGAAGCGCCTTGCAGATCACAGAACGCGCTTCTTCGTTCCAGAGCTTGAGATCAGTGACAGTACCAAAGAAGTGCTTGTCAGTTACAGCAAGATTCAGGAGGGCGAGCTACAGAAGCATGTTGAGTCAATTGTAAGACACTCCCCTACCATCAATTGATGAGTACCACTAACAATTTTCAGAGGAAGAAAGCATGGGTAGGCTGAAACGACCCCACAACGTAGCATGCTAGATTGCTGACCAGCTATATCTCAGGCGATCTATCCGTATCCTTGCATTGGCATGGGACGTTCGTCGTCACCCGTCTCAACGTCCACATAATCTGCTGATCGCTTCCAGGCTTCCTCAACCTCCACATTGGCCGCCACCAGCTGTACCAGTCCGAGATTCTCCCACGCATGCTCAGTAGCGATCAAACCTATCTCGATCTTGGCTGCGCTTTCGCACAAGACATTCGTCGCCTAGTCGCGGATGGTGTTGACAGCAGCAAGTGCTACGGAGCGGATCTTCGCCTCGACTTCCTTGAGCTGGGAAACGAGCTATTCAACGACCGCAACAACCTCAAGTCCCGCTTCATCGCAGCCGATATCTTCGACGAGGAGAGTGAATTGAAGGAGCTGCACGGCCAGATCGACATCATTGATGCCAGCTCGTTCTTCCACCTCTTCACGCTGGACGAGCAGAAACAGGTTGCTCGGTCGGTCATCAAGCTCATGCGACCGCGCAAGGATAGTCTAGTGGTGGGCCGTCAGGTGGGTAATGCTGATCCTCAGGAGTACCCGCGGCGTAATGGGTTGGGCACACGCTTTCGGCATGATATGCCGTCTTGGCGCAGGATGTGGGATGAGGTTGGCGAGGAGACCGGTGTGAAGTTTGACGTTGGTGGCACGATGCAGACTGTGCCGAATCTTGGTACCGTCCCTGGTGCAGCAGAGCTGGAGGGAGAGTCGGCTGCGATGATGGAGTTTTATGTGAGGAGGCTGGAGTAGACCAACGCCTGCAAGGCATCAATACCTGCGCAGTGTTTGATGGACTTCTGGCGAAACCTAAAAGCTGTAGGAGGTCAAAAGAGTAGATTTCCGCTGGCGAGGTTTGAACTCGCGTCGTCTGGAGATTGATGATTGAAAACCAGAAATGCTAAACCACTACACTACAGCGGATCTGGTGATGAGACGTGTCCCTGTCCAGTATATTGGTCGGAATTGACGACCGAAGATTAGTCGGCGGTAAGGCAGGCGCAAGTGTCCGATCACATGCGAGCAGCCGGCGTGACTGTGTAACGACGCCAAGCCAGTACAGTCAGAATGCTTCACGACCCGAGAGTATGGTACCTACGGGTCAGACAATCACTGCGCGCAGTCTAGCCACACAGTCATTGACCTGTACAGCTCACTTAAGGATGTAACGCCTCATATATCCAGGTCATTGCTCACTTGTCTATAGACTCCGGGCGTTCGAAGAATCGAGAAGTATCGACTGGAACGTCCTCATCGAACTACCTGGACATTTGGATCCAGCCGGGCTTGCTTCATCGATGCGTCCCTAGAGAAATCAGACATGAGTCGTCCACGCCAAGCAATGAAACGGTATAGTGAGTCAGATCAGGAGACTGAGCTCGCATGCGAGCACCGCAAGGCGTGCGCCGCTTCCTGCAACATCGCCGAATCTTCTTTTTTCGACGAATAATCCTACGCCAGAGCACTCAACCTTCAGACACGTACATCTTCGCAGGTCACGCCCGCTATGGACCTCTACGCCACTCCAGCCCTTATGCAGGTACAGCGCCTAAGCGATTGGCTGCGCTGCGCCTCCTCAGCCTTGCTGGCTGAGCACTAGGGCGTGCTGGCATGAAGCTCTTCCTCCCCCTTCAATCTGCTTGGAAGGTGTGTAGATCATACAGATAATTCCAACTAGTGAAACTGACTCGAACGGTTCCGGCGGCGGCATGAACACCCTACTCGAGCGCACAGTCTGATCAAGACCTGCACGGCGGTGATACCTACCCCGTGGCGCCTCTTTGTGCCACAACGTGCAACCAGACGGGAGTACCTGCGAGTGCCCCCGACTCCACCTTGGGTGATACAGCGCGACACGAGACCAGGCACATACTTCACCATGGCAGACATAGCTTTCGGCGTAGTGGGCGTAGCAGGCCTAGCTATCCAGCTCGCGGATTCGGTCAAGAAGCTGCAGGCTTTCATTGTTTTGGTGAAAGATGCACCTGCTGAACTTCAAGAGCTTATCGAGTATATCAATACTAGTCGCGAGTGGTTGGGCAGGATCACGAGTACTGTTGTTCCTGCTATAGATCCGGCACTGACATCGAGATGTGAGGGTTTGTGTCGTAAGGCGGTAGAGAAGATAGCGGTAGTGGCTAGGGAGCTTGAACAAGGTACGCTAACATAAGGGATGGCTATGTATAGCTTCGCTAAGTCGCCATTCTAGGCATGCAAACAAAAAAGCGTCGTACAGCAATGAAGCTAGCCTGGAATGCAGACGGTATGGAGCGCTTGCGAAAGCGTTTGGATAGCTCGAAGCTAGATCTGCATCTTGCTCACAGCATCTTCGAGTCCGAGCAGATAAGAGCTGAGATCTTGCATCAAGGTCGTGTAAGTAGAGATACGATGGCCAACCTCAATCTGGAAGCATACACGCGACATCAGGATTTGCAGCAAGGCGTCCTGCAAAGCATCAATGACGGGAGACAATCTACTCAGCAGAGCTTTGATCGTCTACACTCAGGCCAAAGTGTTCTTCAGCAAGAGATGCAGACCTCACTCTTCGCTCAGCAGAAGAATCTGTCAGGTTTGCGGACGGGACAGGCCGGGATGGAGCAAGCACTTCACACAGGACAAGCACAGACAAGACAAGACATCAGAGCAGAGGCCTCAGCGATAACTGGACACTTGATGTCCCATCAACACCAAACGATAGCACAAATGGATCTCTTCAAACAAGAAATCCTAGACGCGATCAAGTACAGTCTCGCCCGGTTTGGAATGCACCAGTCGGCTCCGTCATCAACGTAAGTAGGACGCCCTGTGCATGTCAAGCCGTTTGATGGCAAGCCAGTAGGGACAACTTCGCCGAGATGCTAGACTAGACCAAGCACATGGGACCTTGCTCGAACTTTGTTCGACGTGGACAATGATAGCTTGCATGCAGCGTGTCTGCCCAGCTCCTCGTTCAAACTCAAGCTGACGTGAACACTTCTCGATCTAGCCATCACAAACGAAGCGTCGCCAACGAGCGCTATACAAGTCCGGTTGTTGCCTTCGATTTTTCTCGCATAGGCTGGATCTGTTCATCCAACGGGAAATATGTGGCTGGAACTTTAATATGAAGAGTTACAGAGTCATCCCTCAAGGAGATGACAAATGGGAAGCCTTCCGATCGCGCGACCTTGCAACTATCGAACGCGCCATACACGAAGGAGTAATATCACCGTACGACCGAGATGAATATGGTCATTCGCCCTTCGACTTGTGCGTGAATTATTGGGCATGCGGCGATACGGTCCTCATTGAGAACTTGCTTGATATGTGGACACATGCTGGCTATCCACTGGTACGAAGCGTCTTTCGGGGATTGAGCACTATCTCTGACATACCGCATAGTTCACAGACAATCTTGTTTGCATGGCTGACACAATCACAACACTGTGGTCTTTGGAGTTCCAAGTTCCAACGTCTCGCAGTACAGACCTTGTGCGGAAGTGGTTCAAGGTAGCCAGCCTTGCTCAAGATGTTCTAGAAGTCATTCCCGGGGCACTTGCAAACCTGCCAGGCACCTGGTCTGCTGAGGAGAGATTTGAAGTCCTCCAATGGGCACAATGCTTGCCATTCAGTGCTGTGTTCGACATAGTGTGTGGCTTTTCCTCGTTCTCACCACAATTAATAGCCATGCAGGGAGCGAATGGGTTCACCTTGATGCACGCTTTCGCAGTTGCTGAGCCGTATGACGATGTGATAGCGACAGATGTCTGGGGCCTCCGGCTACGCGAGTTTTTCGAAAGTTGTGTGCGTTTTGGCACCGATCTGCACCCTCGGTGGCGAGATTGGTCTGGTAAGGACATGACTCCTTTGGCAGCAATGATCTGCAAAGATTACGGAAGTTACTACTACGACGATCTAGGAGCACCGACCAAGACTGTGCAACAATGGTTGGGAGCGCTGTATCTCGCAAACGCAGATCTGGAGGAATATGGTAGAGCCGAGATGGATACGCTTAGAAAGCTTCGTGGCACCACGATTGGTCATGCGCCCTGTGTCCCTTACTTAGTAGCGTACGGCCCGACACCAGAAGATTGGGCGTTCCTTGAGATGCACCTAGGTGATGTCTATGCCGGTCTTTTTTGGCACATGGTCGAACATCCGGAAGCTAGCATACCGGGGGCTTGGCTGGACGACGAAGACCAAGCTGTCGAGATCGAGGACTCGTTCGTGGCTCGCAGACAACGGACTAAGAATAACAGACGGATGAGTGGCAGGTTACATGAAGAGCACGAGAGACTAAAGAGGTTCTTCGAGAGGATGCAGAGTCAGAACAGAGTCGATGTGGACGAGGATGTCGAGGAGTGATAACCTGAAGGGGAATGATAACGATAAAGAGTATGAGAACGATGAGAATGAAGATGCATTAGGCGAATAAGTATGAGGAGATAAATGAGCACGATGACGGGAATTGGATTGGAAACCCAAATTTGATCGTGTGGTAGACGAAATCCGTGGGAAAGGTCAATAAGGTGAGCAGCCCGTCGAGGGCATTTCCCACTTCGAGCCGTGCTGCGTGGCATGAGCGTTTGTAATCTCAAGGGTATCAGACAGCCATGCCAACGCCTCGCCAATACAAATCAACGCTCGAACGCTACAAAAATACCACCGCGTGAACGCCAGCAAGAACCACTATCTCATCTCCTCGCACTCAACGGGCCCGGCGTCAATAGCCCAGGACTCGCCATACCAGGACTCGCCAACCCAACCTCCAAAAACAAATCGTCCCCCCTCCGTCTCGGCGTCAGCTTTGGCTCCCACAGCGGACTCTTCAGCGCTGTCTGATAGGCCTCGCCGTCCGCAGCATATCTCACTACCGTCGGTGCCGGACTTTTCATCTCAGGCGTTAAGGTATCATTGTTCGAAGTACTCTTGTGATAGCGACCCCCAGCACTGGCCACCCGACCATAGCCCTTGAGTGGCGACTCCTGGCGAGTGCCGTTTGCGCTAATTCGAGGCGGTGTGATCGCTGTCATATCTTGCGGCCTGCTCTGACTACGCACGTGGCTGTTGGCGCGAGAGTGTGAGGTATCGATGAACAAGCGCTTCTCTGTGGCCGGGCTAGCAGTGTCTTTGCTGCGCTTGACGGCCAATGTAGACCCTGTGAGGCTTGGGCTGGAAGTGATCTGGCGCTCGGGAGTCACATACTCGCTAGTTTTTATGGGTGTAAGACTGGGCAGTACTCTTCGATCATCTCTAGGCTCTTCTCGTCGCTGCCTATGCCGTCGTGGTGACTTCGTGGAGCCTGACTTGATTTGCGGGCTCCGTGGGATACTCTGGTTGGAGCTCCTGGGCACCTTTGGGTACCTGATAGCCGCAATGGGACTATGCTCCGCAACAGGACTGAGCTGCTTATCGGCTTCATCGGGTGGCGTCGGCTCATCCGGATCAGTGCTCTCGAAGCTAGTATCACTGCCGGCAGAAGAAACTCGTCGGACAGCGCGAGGAGGGTAAGTAGGTTTCGTCACAGTAATGGCAGTCGGAACCGGCTTGACCCTCCGTTGAGGCTCGAGCGAGATGGGTGTGAACGGCGAGCCGAGCGGGTTCATCGATAAGTCTGCGGTGGGACTGGCGTAGTAGTCTAACAGGCTACCTCCAGACTTTGACGAAGTGCCAGACTTGGCTCGAGAGCCTCTGCTTGCCCTGTCTGCGCTGCTAGTCCGTGGCATTGGTGGAGGTACGATAGCGATCGGTGATGGGACCTTCATCGCCGCCCGGGAAGCCTTCATCGGCATCGTGAGGGACAGAGAAGGCTGCCTGACCTCAGTCGGAGGCGTGGTACCCTGCTTGGCGTGTTGTGTGCCGGGCATCGCGCCTTTGGTGCGCAGAAGTGTTGCGTGTGTAGGCACCGGCGGCATGAGGTTTGCCGACATACGCTTGCTCGTGGG